TTTGTGCTTATTATCAGCGAAGAGCAACAGCCAGTTAACCACTTGTAATACATGGATGATCTGAAACTGTATGGATGGTCACAAAAGGAGATGCAGAGACTGATGACCTATGTAGAAAAGTTTGAAGATACAAAGTTTCAGGTTGGCTTGGCTCAATGTGGAGTGGCGTCTGTAAAGATGGGCAAGCTGGTACAATCAGACGCCATACAAACTGATGAAGGTATTTGCCAAGCTATCTCTCAGCTTGGTCCCTACAAATACCTTGGAATCAGGGAACTGTCTGAGTTACTAAAGAAGGAAGTAAAAGAAAAAAGCGAGGAAAGGATATTACAGATGACTAAGATCTACTCTAAGGACAAAACTCAAAGAATTGTATCTTAGTCTTTAATATGTGGATGATACCTGTAATACTGTACACTGCTGGAGTGATCAAGTGGCATGAAGAAGAGAAGAAAAAAATGAATATCCAAACAAGAAAGTGCCTAGTGATTCATTATTATTATAGGCAAGCATCAATCCATTGGATCATGGTATATGCCCAAGAGGTCTAGTCAGGTGCCTGATGAATCCGATTATGGCTGACAAGCCCAATTCGAGAACAACGTAGCTTGTTACAAATTTTACAGATGCATGTGTTGGCCGAGATGGAGTCCAAAATTACTGCACACGGATTCCAGCCTCTGCATCAAAGTCGCTTTCTGTTGAGCTGCACCCAGTGCCAGATATTCCCTCCAGATTGGACGGATTCAGAGAGTAATGCATACCAATCAAGACGTGGACAGGACATACATCCGACGAGGTGATGGAGGAAAAAGGTCTGCTATTGGTGGAGGAAGCAATTGAGAATGAAGAATATATCATCAAAATACGTGAAGAGTCGACCAGAATGAAAGATAATCTGGTCGCGATAACAAGAGATGGCTGAGTGTGCATCCTAGGCCAAGAAAGCATCAAAGAAAGGAGAAACCAAATCAGCAAAGGAAGACAAAAGATTTACACAGAAATCAGTGCACGTGCAGTGGTGGAGAGAGAGACAGCCTATTAGTGATCGGAGCTGAACAAACTCCTGGCTTGTAGAAGGCCTCTCAAGAGAGAGACCGAGAGCCTTACTGTGAATGTCCGAGAGCAGTCGGTCCTTGAGGCTTAATTAAGTTTGCAACAGAACTGCCCGACAGAACTGCTCCCCGAACTGCAGTGTTCCGAAAAGGAAAAACCAATGGAGCATGTATTGAGCACCTGCAGGAGCCTGGCTGGGAGAGAATATAGGAACAGATACAATGAGGCTGCCAAGTGCCTGCATTGGAGCCTCAGTACTGGGTGATGTTACTACCACCAGATCAAAAGCGCACTAGAGAATGAAGAGGATAAGATTTTATAGGATCTGGCAGTTGTCACAGACCTAACAGTTCAGGCCGGACATAGGTGCTGTAGGAAAAAAAGGCAAACCAGACCATGTTCATTGATATTGCCATCCCAGCAGACAGAAATGCAAACAAGGAGGTGATGACATATGAAGAATTCTGCCATGAAGTGGACCAATTATGGAAAACTAGAAAAAGACAATCCAGTGATTATTGGAGCACCTTGTGAGACCCTCTAAGCAGCTTAGGAACACATTAGGAGTGTGAGACGTCATGATCAGCCACCTCCAACAGACAGCGCTCCTGGGCACCCTGAGGATTTTAAAGGAAGTCAAAGGAGAACAAGTGCATTTGAGCACTTAATATGCAGGAATTCTGCAGAGGGTTTAACAAAACTCCTGGCTACCCAAACCTATGGGTTCATAGTCAGGATTTATTGGTGACCCGTGGTGATAAATTTTAGGCAGCAGCTTTCCCTTTTTTATGCTTAAAGTTCTTGTATTTTTTTTTTAAATGATGTAATACTCTGGTAATAGTGATTATCAGGGGGTCAGAATTTAGAGAACATCCAGCATCAGAGATCAGGACATTCATTATGTGCAGGACCCAAGTGCGAAAAATGCTTCTTTGCAACGTCCTCCCAACAGAGACGGGACAGAAACATGACCCCCAGGAGAGGAGGAAAGGGGACTGGGAAGAGAGAGGGTCAGCTTCTGCTCTCATTTACATTGGGTGTTAAATTTACATGGAGCTACTCCAGATTTACACTAGTTAAGATATTCCGGTTTAAACAAAGTATAATTAAAAATAATAGTGTTCTTCCTTCATTTTATTAATTACTAAGGGATGGAAGCCAAAAGTAGGTAGAGCGAGGGGGTGAGCAGCATCCTGCATGGATAATTTCTTGTGTTCCTTAGATGTGTAGCTAGTTCTTCTTGGAGTGCTTGTCCATATATATATATATATGTATATAATCGAGCACATGTGTGCTCAGTGCACTCGAGACAGAGGTTTTTGGTCAGCAACATCTGTTGGGACAGTGCCTTTGCCCTTATAGTCCTCATGCCTCCCTCCAAGAGCATGAAACGGGGGCTTGCCCCAACCTCTCTTCAGATATGTAGATGGCTCCCAGAGACTCTGATGTTTGGTGCCTTATGCACAGACTGTTATGCGGGTGCATCTTGTTGCTTAGCCATGCTAAGCCTGGTTGGCAATTTTACCTTTCCTTCCACATCTCCCTCTATTCCCTTATTACGTCTGTTGCACTTTGCTGAGCTGCCTCCAATTTGTCCGTGCCTAGAACTATGTTCCGGGTGCAGCATCACCAGTGCTGAATAGAGGACTTCTTGCATGACACAATGTGCCCAAAAGTGCATCTCCACGCCACACTGCGCTTGTCCACTCATTCTGCCCCCTACCTCCCCAAATGGCTTTCGGCCATTGCTACTTTCCAAACTGCGCCTTCTCACTCGCTAGCCAACATACTAACTTAAGTAGAGTGCAAAGGAGGAGAAAGTCCAAAGAGAAGGCAGGGGCAGACTTCTGACAAAAGGAAGGAGAGAAGGGGGGCAGGATTATAATTTGAGGATTCCTGCCTCATGTGGGTTTAAATATCAACTTTAATGTTCCACTTAATGTGTCTTTCCAGAGAGGGACGGGGGTGGGGGCTTCTGAACATCTCATGGTAGCCATCGGGGGAGGATGGGCCTCTTCAGAATGCTCACATCACCATGACCTAGAAGCTGTCAGCCAAGTATGTGGGTTTATTGTGAATCTAGTGGAAAGGAACTTTCTGACATCACAAGCTTCAAATCCCCCATGACTGGTAAGCGTTGAAGTCCGATGGTTGACACGTGCAAAATCCCCTATTGATAAGCACTGAAACCTTGGTTATTTGAGCCCCGGCGAGCTGCAATTCTTGGTTAGCTTGAAGGTCAGCTGTAATTCTACCAAGCTCCTGGGATCTGTTTGCTGCTCTGCTGAGCGGACTGTGCCTTGGGGAAGCCAGCCAGTGCTCTCGGAAAGTTATGTTCATTATAGGGGAATTTGTGAACGCAGACTTCAGAGCATATTGGACTAGTTGCTCCCAGTTTCCCAAATGCCCAGTTAGTGTAAATCAATGGAATTTAGCTCCTAACTGCCTTAGGGTTTGTCTACACAGGGAGTTATTCCGGAATACAAGTGTTATTCCAAATTAGCTTAATCCACTTCCAAAATGGATTAAGCTAATTCAGAATAAGGCACTGTTGTTCTGAAATAGTCTCCACATGTGGAGTTAATCGAGAATAGTTAATCTGCCTTAAATTCACACCCTACTTTATTCTGGATTAATTTTCATGGGTAGACAAACCCTAACCTTTGCACTCTTACGTCACTGAGACACCTTTGAAAATTGTACCCAGGGTCTTTAATGACATGATCACATAGTATATTTTCCACAGGCCCCCTGGCTTGTTCAATTCACATGATGGACACGAAAGGCGGAAGAATCAAAGTTGTCCAGACAGCTGTGTAAACCTGGCATTTCCTACATTTTCAAGTGCTTGACCTTGCAGCCCAAGGCTTTTTCCACACTTGTGGTGGCCCCTGGGATACATGTAGCTATACGTGGCAGTGAAATGCTCTGGCAGGAGGAAGGCAACCGGGAAAAGCAGTGGGGTGCTGCCGGAGCCTTTCTTCTCTGCCTTCCTCCAGTCAGAGTCTTCCCCCACTGCTGGAGCAGTGGGGAGGCTGTGGGACACGACACTGCTGGAAATAGCCGTGCAGATGGGGGAGGCACTGTTTGGGCGTGTTGAGAGCCATGTAGGGTATATACTCTAGGGTCCAGGTGTGTCTGTACTCTACCCTCCAAAGCAATGCCTCACTGTCTACACTGCTATTTGTATTGTGCTAGCTGGGCTGGGCTCTACCCTGCCATAAGTGAAGACATGCCATAAGTAATGTTCTTTTAACATACGTGGGTTTTTTGGGCGGGGGAAGCTTACGTAATGCGGGAAATATATTTCAAACCAGATTTCTGCCTGGTAGAAAATAGCTGTGGTCCCTTGGGTACCTCAGAAAGAGACAGAGGTTGTCTGGACAGTGGCCTGGCCTCTTCAGGAGACAGGGCAGCTTACCTGCGAAGGGCCCCCCTCCCATCCCTAGGACCCCTCTGGCACCTTTAGGAGTTGTGGAACCTGCCATAATGCAGCTGCTACCCAAGGGGGAAGAAGCCCACAGAACAGGCCGCTCCGTGCTCTGGGTCTGGAGAGGCTATTGATGTTTCAATGGCCAGCAGCAGCGTCTGCAGATGTGAGCCTGATTAACCCCCCGAAATGACAAATCCAGAGTCTGCTTGGTTCACCACAAAGGATGGTCCTGATTCCCCCCCACATCGTCCATCAAAGAGCCCTGCAGTGAAATGCCACTGAGCGGACAAGTAGCACACGGCGATTTCTCCCCTCCTCCCTGAACAGCACATTTGCCAGCATAATAAATTCATCCCAACCCCTTTTGGTTGTAACGATGTAGTAACGATTCCAAACATGATCCGACGCACGAGCTCCCTTTTAAATCTGCATGCGACCCTCAGAGCCACGGCGGCCAGTTAGCGAAAATGTTCTTCCTCTGGTGACTTAGCATTCCTGCTTCTCTTTTTAGAGGAAACTACGTTTGAAGCTGGAGTCAAAGTTCAGATCCACAGCCAGTCGGAGCCGCCCTTCGTCCAAGAACTTGGCTTCGGAGTGGCCCCTGGATTTCAGACCTTTGTCGCCACACAGGAGCAACGGGTGAGTCTGTAGTTTGACGTGTGGAGTGGGGGCTATCAAACATTTTCCTGTGGTGGGTCACTTCTAAGGGGAGAGATGGAGAGACCCTTTCCTGAAGCAACTCCCCTAATCCTGTTTTCCCTGCACTTCCAGGAGGGGTACAACCTACCCTAATGAGGCTGCTACTCTGAATAGGCAACTAAGTAGCCCAAGGTCTGTGGTCACCACTCTTTCAGGAGGCAAATGTCATACAAACTTGGGTGTGGCTGCTTGGTCACGTCTCCCCGCTCTTATCTCTGTGCTGCTCATTCTCCCTGCCTGGTGCTGTCCCCGCTGCTCCCAACTCTCCAGGGAAATTAGTGACGTGTATTTCTCCCAGTTTTTCATTTCAGCAGCAAATCGGATCACTGTTGAATTTACCTAAAACACCCCTGACAACAAAGAAATGCATGGAGCAAGCACAGATGGGGAGGGGGGATTTGGTGGGAGGTATTTGTTTTCATTGGAGGTGGGGGGAAGAGAAAGGTGCTGATCAGAAAAACCTCTGCCAACCCTGAAAGTGTCCGGTCTGGGCTCTGAGTAGATGTTGCCATTTCTGTTTGAAAACGGAGAGGTCCTTTATCTTTGGGACAAAACCAGCGTGATGGACAGAGTGCTCGCTTGCAACCCGCAGCTTGAGAACAACTGAATTACAGATTTAAACCCTATCCCTTGAATGCAAGCTTGCTGGCATTCTACCACGCTATGGGATCTCAGGCTACAAAGAGGAAATTTCAGCACTGGATTAGGAGAATTAGCAGAATTAGGAGTGAAGCCCGGTGCATGAATGTTGGCTTGTTTGTTGGCTTGGATGTTCGCTGTAAAATGTAAAGTTTCAATGGGGCGAAGGGGCTGCCCCTAGCGCTGGGCAGACATAGGTTTGCTTCTATCTGACGCGTGTCCACACCTTTGAAGTCAGCAGAACCAACCTGAAAATTGCATAGAAACAAATTTACTTCCAGAATGTTGGCATTTCTGCCTCCTGACCAGAACCGGGACGTGTTTGAAAATGAAGACTAGCATTAGCCAAAGTCTTTCCCCATCTCCAGCGATAACTAGCTTATTTTATCCAAACTGGTTTGTCCATCTGTAACTGTCACTGGGATGATCTTATTAATGATGTCCATATGAGACACATGGGTCCGATGGCCATTTACAGGAAAGCTGGTGTACACAGACCTAGCAGTGTAAAAGGGCGTTAACGTGAGTATAAATATACTGTATACCCACTCTAAAGCTTGCAGTGCAATGAGGCCTTAGTGTAGAAAAGAACCAGGCCCATTGGAGTTCCATACTAGTACTTATGGTAACGACCAATAGCTAAAAATCTGTACACAGAAATTCTCATTTGTCCTGTCATTACCTGCTCTCAGTAGCTGGTGTTTTGTGCTGTCTGGGAGGATTATGCAAGACTGAAGACAGGGTGTGGAATCTGCCCTGCTGGTCTTACAAACACACAGCTCCCCCTTGTGCCTGGGGAAGAGAGCGTGCCAGACGGCTGGAGGGCTCTGCTCCCATTCCATGTTGCCAGCCGAGCCCAGAGGGTGAAATCCGGTAGCATTCCAGAGCAAAAGAGACCAGTGGGGAGTAATCGCCCAGAGGAAGTTCCCCGTGTGCATCCGAGATCTTTGCACGTATCCCCTGCCGGCTGTTCGCACACTACGCTGGAAGCGTGGGTGAACACAGGCCAAAAGCTAGAAGCTAGGTTTTGCTAGCGAGGCTGATTTGCTGCGGTTAAATCAGTCTGTGATCCTCCATGTGACTCATTGGAATAACGAATCCCTGACAGCACCCCCGCCCTCAGGTCTTGATGTGTGACAGTCGGAGAGGCTTTTATTCATTGCCTGTCATTCGAAACAAGCCTGTGTGAAATTCTAATCTGGCAGGATTGTGGGAGGGGAGAGGGTGGGTAACACACAGATTATTTCTGGAGTGGATGAACTGGAGGATGACGGTAGCTTGTCGGAGGGGCTCATTACTCCTGGGGAGCGCTGTACGAAACCCAAACAGTCAGAACAATAGCGTTTAGTTCCACTCGAAAGGAAACGTTTTCTTTTCAAGGGTTTTTTTTTTTTTACCTTTAAAAGAAAAATTGATCTAAAATTTGAAATGAGACAATCGAAAAATGTGGGCCAGAGAGAGGTAGAATAATTTTGAGGTGCCATGTGGGCACCTGCCGGGAGGTGGCAGACCCAAAGTCCGGTCCCACTGCTACACTGACTCAGTATTTATGCCCAGCGGAACAGCTTTGACAGGAGAGATTGAGAGCCTGCCCCAGACGACCCTCTAACCTAGGAGTTAGGGCAAGTTCAAATCCCTTTTTCACAGCAAGCCCGAGGGGGGAACCTGGGTCTCCCATGCCTGGGGGGAGCGCGCTAGCCACTGGGAGAAATGTTAGCAGAGGGGCACTTCCTCTGTTTGTCTTGGAGAACAACTGATGTGGTGTAGGCACCCGCCTCTTGGCTGTGAATCCCAAGTCGAGGGAGATGCCTCCCTCCGGCCCAGAGTTAGGGCCCTACATCCCTATGAGGGGCGGGGCTTCGGCTGCTTTCTCGACCTTTCCTGTTGGCTAGTTTAGGTGGCTTTCCGCTCAGCTTGCTGGCTTGTAGGTGCCCAGGAATGGGAGTCATAGGAGTTCGGCGCTGCTGTGCTCAGCGTGATAATGTCCAAGTCGCCCCCTTCCCATACAGAGTGGCGGAAGGGTCTGAAAGTAGCCCTCCTGGCTTGGAAAGAACGGCCTAGGCCTTTGCCTTATTTGATAGCGCCAGAGACATGTCGGGCTGGATGGGACCTCACCAGGAGAGCAAGTCCAGGCCCCCTGCGCTAAGGCAGGACCAATAAACCTAGATCATCCCTGAGTGGGGTTTGCCCAGCCTGTTCTTCAAAACCTTCAGGGATGGGAATTCCCCAACCTCCCGTGGAAGCCTGTTCCAGAGCTTCACTGCCCTGTGAGTTAGAACATTTTTCCTAATATCGCCCCTAAATCTCCCTTGCTGCAGATTAAGCCCATTACTCCTTGTCCTACCTTCAGTGGAGATAGAAAACAGTTGCTCCCCGTCCTCTTCATAACAGCCCTGGGGTGCTGAAAGCCATTGAACCAAACTGAAAACCCTATATATGATGGAAACCACTTCAAGCCAAGGGTGGGTGCCACCCCCTCCCCCAGCACGCTTAGTTCCAGCACCCCTGTAACAGCCCTTCATATATTTGAAGACTTATCAGGTTCCCACCCACCCCAGTCTTCTTTTCTTTAGGGAAAAAAACGGTGAGGTGGCAAAGTTTGCAGATGATACTAAACTGCTCAAGATAGTTAAGACCAAAGCAGACTGTGAAGAACTTCAAAAAGATCTCACAAAACTAAGTGATTGGGCAACAAAATGGCAAATGAAATTTAATGTGGATAAATGTAAAGTAATGCACATTGGGAAAAATAACCCCAACTATACATACAATATGATGGGGGCTAATTTAGCTACAACAAGTCAGGAAAAAGATCTTGGAGTCATCGTGGATAGTTCTCTGAAGACGTCCACGCAGTGTGCAGCGGCAGTCCAAAAAGAAAACAGGATGTTCGTAATCAGTAAAAAAGGGATAGAGAATAAGACGGAGAATATCTTATTGCCCTTATATAAATCCATGGTACGCCCACATCTTGAATACTGCGTACAGATGTGGTCTCCTCATCTGAAAAAAGATATACTGGCATTAGAAAAGGTTCAGAAAAGGGCAACTATAATGATTAGGGGTTTGGAACGGGTCGCATATGAGGAGAGATTAAAGAGGCTAGGACTTTTCAGCTTGGAAAAGAGGAGACTAAGGGGGGATATGATAGAGGTATATAAAATCATGAGTGATGTGGAGAAAGTGAATAAGGAAAAGTTATTTACTTGTTCCCATAATATAAGAACTAGGGGCCACCAAATGAAATTAATGGGCAGCAGGTTTAAAACAAATAAAAGGAAGTTCTTCTTCACACAGTGCACAGTCAACCTGTGGAACTCCTTGCCTGAGGAGGTGGTGAAGGCTAGGACTATAACAGGGTTTAAAAGAGAACTGGATAAATTAATGGAGGTTAAGTCCACTAATGGCTATTAGCCAGGATGGGTAGGGAATGGTGTCCCTAGCCTCTGTTTGTCAGAGGGTGGCGATGGATGGCAGGAGAGAGATCACTTGATCATTACCTGTTAGGTTCACTCCCTCTGGGGCACCTGGCATTGGCCACTGTCGGCCGACAGGATACTGGGCTGGATGGACCTTTGGTCTGACCCAGTAGGGCCATTCTTATGTTCTTATGAGACTAAACATGCTCTGTTGTTTTAATGTTTTAAATCCTTGTCAGCCTGGTCCTGGTATCTGTGAGTCACCAACCCGTGTGTGGGTTGCCAGGTGATCTGGTGATTGATTGCTGTGGCTAGAACGGGTGATCATTATAAGCAGGGGACTATCGAGTAGGAGTAGGGAGGTGATATTACTTGTGTATATGGCATTGGTGTGCCTGTGACTGCAAGACTGTGCCCAGTTCTGGTGGCCACACTTCCGAAGGATGTAGAGAAATTGGAGAGGGTTTAGAGAATGGCTGTGAATATGATTCGAGGTCTGGGAAACCTTCCTCACGGTGAGAGTTAAGGTCTGTCTACACTGCACGTTAAGTCCAGGCTCAGACTTAGGTTTCAGCCTAAGCCCTTCTTCCATCCACACACAAATCAGTCTGACTCTGGTCAGCAAGCACGCAGGACTGGAGTCCTAGGATCATGGTAGTGGGATGGGTCATAGCCAAGTCCCGCTGTGACTGGGGTCCACATCCTGTCATTTTGCAGCGTGGACCAAGTCAAGGTGCAGACTGGAGTCAGAAGGTCTGCGTAGCGCAGCATGGACATGCTAGCCAGGTTCTGAGACGCGGGTCCAGCAATTGTAAACAAGGTTTACAATGCAGTGTGGATGCTCAAACATGGCCAGGGAACTAGACCTTTTTAACTTACTGA